CCCCGCCATATACACCCCCCCCGCCAGTCAGCAGCCCCTGCGCGGCGCCGTCGTGGGGCCGGCCCAGCAGCAGCCCCGGCAGCAGCCCTCTCCGCAGCCGCCGCTGGCGGGCCCGCTGGTCGCTCAGGTAAGCAGCTGGCGGACGGCAGGGAGCAGTGCTCCAAGCCGGAGGCTGCAGCGTCGTCGGAGCAGGGTGCGCCAGGGCGCGGGCACGCTCTCCGTCGGTGCCACCCCCACCCACTCCCAAGGAAAGCCGGCAGCCTGGAGTCCCCAGTCGCAGGTCCGGAGGATTCCGTCTGGATCCTTAAGCTTAGGCGGAGCTGATGCCATCCGCCGGCTTGCCTGGGGGGGCGCGGCTCTAGGGAGAATGAATCACACGAGTTTATCTCAGGGCTAGATGCGCCTTGTGTGTATCAAGGAGCCTTTCTTGGGACTTGAACTTGGATTCCTGCCCAGGCCTTTGCATCACCTCGCTCACCCATTCCCAGCACAGACCACGCTGAGCGGACGAGCCTCGCTCAGGGCTGGCTGGCTCCGGCTGCGTGGACTCCACTTTCCCTTGGGGCCGGTCCCCCTCTCTGCAGTGCACTGAGCCAAGGGGACCCGTAAGGGGCGGTGGGTGATATGCTTCAGATACGACGGCCTTCCGGCGGGATTTCAAGCCCCCAGTGCTTCCCTGTTACCTGATCAGCTTTTTCTTCCCTCCAGTCTGTCCAGGGGCTGCAGGCTTCCTCCCAGTCTGTGCAATATCCAGCTGTCTCTTTTCCTCCCCAGCATCTCCTGCCTATGTCTCCAACGCAACAGTTCCCCATGGTATGGATTACGTGTGTCTGACTTTTCCCCGGGGAGGGCATACTCGCTGGTTTGACCACTTTCCTGTGCAGGGCTGGCTCATGCTGAGTGGGTGCCCTGGGCTGACTATGATGGGGTGTGTGTGTGTGAATGGCTCATTCCAGAACATTGCACCCAGCTTCAAAATCATGGTCTTTCTATCATCTGTCCCATGTTGAGTGCTTCTGTAATCTGGTACTTTTTAAAGAGTTTACCAGCTAATCAGGAATTGAATGCCTTCAGAATTAGAAGTCAGAAGCACAGAGACACATGAACTTGGTGTGAGGGTCTGAGATATACCTTAAAGTCAGTGTTGAGATGGTGACCACCATCCCCCTACGCTCCTGATATAGTTGTTCTCACATTCCAACCCCCCCCAATTTCCGCTCCACTTTCCCACCATGTACTAGGTCCTTCTGGACAATAAGAGTGGACAATGACCCCTAATAAGCAAATGGGCTCCCACCCAGCATGTTGGTGACGCCCGTCCTGGCTCCATCTTTGCAGTAGCCGTGGGTGATGGTGACGGCAAGTCCTTCTTCCTCTCCCCAGTGACAGATCCTGTGGTTACCGCTGGGAAGACCAGCTGGCCCTTCAGGACAGAACACCAAGCCCTCCTTGTCTCAGCACCATCCTGAGGAGCCCAAGCCCTTAATCAAAATAATAATAATTTATTTCCATTGCAAAAGGGAGATTTGGGTCAAATTGTTTACCATCTTGTTCCTCAGGATGATTAAATCTGTTTTCTCTTATGTTTTCTTGTTCTGGATGCAGAATTCCTTTATTTTTTTCAACTTGTACTCCCTGCCTCTCCCACAGTGACAAGCACGTGGCCTGTATGTGCCTCTCCCTTCACTAAGTGGATCTTGCTGATTTCCTCCTTTATTTCTGTGTCTTGCAGAGAGAAGACGTGGCAACACAGTTCGGCCAGATGAACCTGAGCAGGCAGTCCTCCGGAGAGACTCCTGAGCCCCCACCCGGCCCTGTCTACCCGCCATCCCTCATGCCACAGCCAAGCCAGCAGCCCAGCTATGTCATCGCCTCCACCGGCCAGCAGCTCCCCACAGGGGGCTTCTCGGGCTCTGGACCGTCCCTCTCTCAGCAAGTCCTCCAGGCCCCTCCCTCACCACAGGGGTTTGTGCAACAGCCTCCGCCCGCACAGGTAGGCATGCCTTTCTCACACCCGTGACCCGGGGACGATCTGTGGTGCACTTGGGCCTATATATTTCCATGCAGAGTATCACCAGTTCAATATGTCTTGCCCCTCTAGTCCAGGCTTATATTCCCCACCTGCAGGACCTGGGCTGTCCTTGTGCAAAGCCTTGGGGCCTAAAAAGTAAGCTAAGTGAAACTGACCCAACTGTCCCTGATACAGTGGGGAAATGTCCCATTTTCCAGACTGCTGGTGCAGAGGCCACATGAAAGCAGCCCCTTCCCTGCAGTGTCCCGCTCACTGGCTTGCCCAGGAAGGGAAAGAAGCAAGCCTGACCCTGGGGGATGTTCAGTGCTCTCTTTTTGCTGCTCTGGAAATTTGTTCCTTCCTTTCTTATCGATTATAGCATTTTCTGGAGCTGATCTGGTGCTCCAGGCAGGAGCTCCTCTGTAGTATAAAGGAGGAAGCTAAGCTGATATCCACTGTCCTTTCCTTTCCCCCCAGGGGGAGGGTGTGTATCAAGCTCACTGGTGCTCTCACAAGTAGCCATTAATCATATTTAATTGACTCCAGCATGTACGACACCACAGATCACTGATTTTTACTGTCTTCTCAAAGACTGATTATATGTTGCTGTTCACCACCAAACCTCCCTGGTGCTCTCCTGGGTGGCCCTCACAGAATAGTGCAAGTGATTACTGTCAAGATGTAAAATGCAGGGAGGCATTTTCTGATTCATTTTCAAGACACACATATCCCAAGCAAATTCCATCCTAATTATGAAATATTATATTGGATGAGCTACTTAAAGTACAGTGTCACCTTCTTATGATTTGTTTCACCACCTTAACATCTTGAATAAATTATTTTTTTTCAAGCCATGCAAAAACCCTCCACCATGAAATAATTTCCACTCAGTTGTTCATTTTATTTTGAATGATTAATAGTTCATCTTTGGTCGCCTTCTCGGTGATGTCTTTTTCACTAATAGGACTTCAGGAGATGTGAAAAATAATTTTAAGTTATAGGAGAAAGGGCCTCATTGATATATTATTTTGCTAGTAAATTGAATACTTTAAGTGTAATTATTGGGGAAATTATTTGGCATATAATATTTTAATATAAAATCGCATATAAGTGTTCTTACCCATCTCTGCTGTCAAAGAGAAGAGGTGGCAGAATATTTAATTGAAGCCTTTTTTTAAAAGTCCTTCATTAATGAAGGAATTTCAGTATCAGTGGACTGCCAGGGCAGAGACAGCTCAGAGCCCCTGGTTTTTCTGCAGCAGAAATGCTATCATTGCCTCTCCAATAGATTTAAAAATAGAAAGAGGGAGGGAAAACAAAGCGAAACAGGTGTCCATTATTCATGACCAGTTTGGACATCCATGAGCTTCTTTTTTAGAAGAAACAAAGATTCAAGTATAGGATATAGCCCCGAGTGATTTTAAATGATTTTAGTAAACATTTTTAAAACTTGATTACTCAACTAGGGAACAATAAAAACTCTCGAGACAGTCCACGGGCAGACATGGAAACACGTTAAACTCACACAGAAAATGAACTATTCAATACCCGTGAAGGTCAGTTTTTCCGACTTGTCATGCACGCTTGTTTCATTTTTAAAAAACACAAAATTCAGTGTTTTAAAATAAGAACCAACTGTATTGCTCATGACTAGGTTGGCAGTTTGAACAGGGCTCAGCAGGAATGGCTCTTCTCTGCTCCACATGGTATATAGTGGCTGGACGACTTGACTGGGGCTGGAACACCCAAGCTGGCCTCACAGGCCTATCGCCTGGGGTGCCTCTAGTCTCCACATGGTCTTTTGCTCCAGCTGGACAGCTTGGACTTCTTGTCCTGGTGGCTGGGCTCTCCTCCCACAACAGTGGAAGGGGCAAGTCTTCTTAAGGATCAAGCTTGCAAGTCTCCAAAGTCATCATTTCTGCCTCGTGGCACTGGTCAGAGCCAGCCACAGAGCCAGCTCACATTCAAGGGCCTGGGAAATCGGTCTCCCCTCTTCCTGGGAGGAGCAGCATGTACACCCACAGAGGCCTGGGGGAAGATTCGGGCGTCTACGTGTACAACCTACTACAATTATATTGTGTCATAAAATGGCAGTATATTTTAGGTTGAAAAAAACATTACTTAATGCACAGTTGTCATTCCCTGCTCTTCTCCCCTTCCTTCCACAGATGCCCATATATTATTACCCATCTGGTCAGTACCCTACCTCAGCCACGCAGCAGTACCGGTCCATAGCCTCCGTTCAGTACAGTGCCCAGAGGGGTCAGCAGGTGCCGCAGACAGCCCAGCAAGCAGGTACTTGGAATCCGTCGCCCACTTCCTCCACTGACCAGGTTTTTTGGCACATAAATCTCTCAGCTGCTCTCTCTGGATGAGCATTCAAGCGTGGCAGTTTAAATCAGCTCGTTGCCCTTACCCAGGGGACATAATGGGGCCTTTGATTAACTCTGTGCGGAACCGTAACAGGTACCAGAAGGTGAAGCGGGTCACTCCAGCATCCAAGGCGTGCATGCTAAGCGCCGTCTCCGTGGATTACTTTAGGATCCTCTTAGCTTATTTTGAAGCAGAGAGCCAGCCACACCCCTATCTTCATAGTTCATATCTTTTTTTTTTTTTTTCCTATTTCAACTTCAAGAGAAGTCTTCCCCCGTTCCTACGGCTAGGGGACCCCAGTAGGTTGTTTCTATCCCATCCTACAAAGCCCTGTCTTTAGAAGAAGGCCACTGACACTGCAGCCTGTGTCCCGGTGGAACTCTGACTCCATGGCTCACTTTCTCGAGGGCCACCCGCCTCGGCCCGGAGCTCGGCAGCCGCTGTGCAGTGGGAAGGGGGGCCGATGCACTGTACGAGAGTGAATAGCAGGTCTCACAGTGAACCGGTCTCTTTCCCTACTGTGTCACACTCCTAATGGGATGCCGCTACCCAGAGAGCAGCAGCAGCCCAGCAGGGCTCAGTGACCTGTGCTAGGGGGAGGTTTCTGTCCTTCCTGCTGACCACACTGCAGGGGAAACCGCTAATTGTCTCGCCGAAGACTGCCAGACGGGGGACCCCGCCTTCCTTCCGTAAGTAGGTCCTGCTAGGGCCCGTGCCCCCCGGCTGCTCATCCGCGCCTGCTCCCTCCTCCATCACCCGACTTCCGCACCGAATACGTGTGTATGTGTTTATAATACCTACAAATGTATGTGTGTAACAGAAACAAAGATGTACTGTTTTTATGAGCTGTGACAAAAAGCAGAGTCCTTGCCAAGGACCAATACCAATAACTGCCACCCTAAGGATACTAATGCTGACACTGGCAGCATTTTGTCAGATGGGAGCGATAATTGAATTCCTCTGTAGCTTGGAGAGCTGTTATGTTCTCTAGTTTACCTCATGGCCGTTTAACGTCTGTGGGAGAATTAGGCAAATGTCTAGCATCCAACCAGACCTTATCTCATTTCAACACTGTGTTAGTTTGGGAAAGATTACATTTTGACCTCTGAATTGACCTTGCGCTTTTTCGTTAATAAGAACACAAAAAGGTTTCAAATTATTAGCTGTTCTAAAAAGAGCATGTGGTGATGTTTTCTCTGATTGTTGGAAAAAGTTATCGTCTCTATCATGTGGTGGTAACTGCGCTATCTGTTTAGATCTATACTGTAGTAATGTGTTCTTTGCATTGTGCACCATCTTATTTTGTTTGGCTAATATGCATCAAAGAATTAACTTATTTATAATCTTATAGCTTTTGGTCCAAAGGCTACAGGGAAGTTTTCCTTTTGGTTCCCAGTGCCTTTAGGAGAAGAAAGATGCGTATAGCTAATTATATAAATACTTTGAATTTAGTTTAGTGCCATCGTGTAACAAACAGTTCTCTGAACAGGTATTTCGGTCTTGTGTTAGAGTATAGTTGACATATAGCAATGTGATTACACACGACCTGGAACCCACTAAACCTGCGCACTCTGCATCTACGTGAGGGGCTGGGAACGTTGGATGAATGTGTTAACCAGGCAACAGACTTAGATTAGGAACAAGCCTCAGGTTTCCACGGACTTCACGTCTGCGTGTCCACACAAGGGAGAATACATGACATTTTTTGCATGTTTTTTCAAAGAGTGGGAGTATTTACGGATGCAGAAACCACCCTCCCCATCTCAGAGAGCTCTAACTGGCCTCAACCACGCTCGGTGGCAGCCCGGTGCCTTTGACTGATCCCATGCTCCCACCTCCCCACGGAAGTGCCACCCCCAAGGCGAGATAATGACACTGCAATTAGAAGAATGCATTCTGAAGCAGTCTCATGCTCGAAATAGAAGCAAGAGCTCAGGTGTGCAGGAAGCGAGTGGCAGCGAATGTGTTCTTGTGGGGGCTTGGGAAGGTGAGAGGAAAAAAAAAGATACATGAACAGTATTTTATCCAGACGTGAAACATCAATATACACACTTGGACTGAGACTTTTGAGCTCCTAGTTCTTGTGACCATCGCAGGTGACAGCAGACCTAAAACCCAATGCAGTGTTGAATTTACTGTTTGAATCACCTGTGCTAAAAAATCCAGGTAACCCAGCTCATGCAGTGCCTTGTGACAATGCATGGAGGCTCCTGGTCCTGTTAGCGGGCGAGCCTTCTGCTGAGTTCAGTGACACTATTGGAGACTTTCCCCAGGTTATTTGGGGGAGCAACTCTTTGTCAGTGGACTATCTCGTAGAGGAAAGAGCCTGTCTGGATAACTATAACGCCGTATTTCCCGAAGGAGCTTGAAGAGGGCCCCCTGCATCTTTAAGTTGCCCTGGGGCCTGTGTGGGCATGGCACGCCCCGCAGCGCTGCCCACCCCCTGCCGTCCTGCGCCCTGGATCCCACCCTCTCCCACCTTCCGCCGGTGCTGACGCCAGACTGCATCCTAGCGATTGCAGCTGTCTCGTGATTTAGCATTAGAATGGGACGCGATTTGGTGAGCTGAAGCCAGCTGAGATTTTAATCCCAATTTGCTTCTCGGCCCTGTTCTTAATCTTTATTTAATTACGATGGAAAAGTGTTTCTTCTCCTACATTCTTGGAAGAAGAATTGGAATTGCTGTAAGTTACTGCATCTTTCTGAAGCCTTAGCGAACTGGATATTCCAGAGTTGATAAATAGGACACTTGAGGTACACCGAGGCCCGGTGAGGGGTCATAAGGTCCTCCTCTGGGTGGTTTTGCACCCTTTGCCCTACCAATGGGTGATCAAGGTGCTATGCACGTGGCAGAAGAAACTTATACTGGTGGTAATTATAAATAAAGGCCATGAATGTTAAGAAATTTTGGAGAAACTAAATGGTAGACTTGCACAGTAGTATTTGAATTTTGTAGCTACCTATGTGAGGAAAATTAAAACCTTTAATATAGAAATGTCTCTAATGGAAAAATTGAGTATTGTCAATTTGGCATTAGCAGGTACCCCTAACAGTGAAGGGGTGGCAGTTTTCCTTATAAGGTAACTGTTGATTTGTTGATAACCCAAGACTCCATAGAAAGACAGGTTATAGCTAAAACACACACAATGGTTTTCAAATCATTCTGGCTTTGAAAGACTTAGACGTGAGAGTGTCTTACTTGAGAACAGATTTTGCTCAGTGGTCAACTGTTGAAATGAAGTGCTGAGAAACAAACCTTTCATTCCTTTGTGTTTAGATTTATTTTCGTAGTCAATTATCATACCACACCTATGTCGCTATGGTTTTACTCTGTTTTTAATTTTTAGAGGACATTTATTACAGCTGGAGACAGTGAACAAGGAAGGGCCTCGGGTAGAAGGAGCAAAGGAGAGGGAGTGGGTGGGGAAATGCACCTAGGCTGGGCCGCTTTGGCTCACTAAGGAGTCAGAGAAAAGGGGGCCTTGGGGACAGGGTCAGGGGCTTAGCCCAGGACAAGCTGCCCATTGTTTTTACTCTTGATCCATAACATCTTTAAGACCACAGAAATGTTAACAATAAATATATCCACCATGAGATCAGGATCTCTCACGGGCCAGTTGCTAGGCTAAGTATTTACTGACACTGCAATGTTTAATCCCCACCACAGACTTACAAGGGAAACATTAGCTATCAGCGCTCCTGATCTACAGACAGGTAAACAGTTGCTCAGAGAGGTGAGAGAAGTTACTCTGCGTCGGGCACCCAGGTGTCAGGGGTTTTAAGCCTGAGCGTTAACCACTTCATGCTAACAGCATAAGCACAGTTACTGGTTTTGTCTTTATCGGCTGGCAGGGATGATCACATAGAAATTTGCATGTTGGAACTAAATAAGCATGCCCATGTTGCAGAAGCAGATGACATTTAATTAATTATTCAAATGCACAAGTGGACTTGACAGCAGAACACATCAGGAACCCTGGACTTTTGCTTTCCGACCTACCATAGGCTTCCATCTGCCTTTCCAGAGCTGGACGACAGCAAATGGCAGAGAGCGGCTGAGACACTGATGCACAAATTATACATTGGAAAGAGGCGAGGGAAGAATTCATCTTAGACAGTGTCTCCAACTCCAAATTCCCTTCTCAGTTTGACTTAAAAGGAAATATATGTTGCTTCATTCTTGTCTCTCCAAAATCTTGGACATGTCCTAAAAAGCAGCAAAAATGTGCTTGTAAAATCCTATACGCGTTTATAAATGGGCATTTGGGGATGAATAAATCATGGTTTGGTATCAGAATAATACTGGCCTCATAAAATGCACTGGGAAGTGTTTCTTTCCCTTCTGTTTTTTGAAAGAAATTGTGTAAAATTGGTGATTTTTTTTTAAATATTTGATAGATGATTCCAGTGAAACCATCTGGGTATGGAGATTTTTAGAAGCATTGTTGTTTACTTTTTATTTGAAGATGATTTCCAGAGCTTTTTAATTACGAATTCAATTAATTGTGGCTCTAGGACGACTCAGATTATCTGTTTCATCTTTGCTGACTTTCGGTGGTTTGTGGTCGTTGAAGAACTGCCCACTTCATCTAAGTTGTTGAATTCATGAATGTAAAGTTGTTAGTAGTGTTTCTTTATTACCCTTTTAATGGCTGCAGGATATGCTGTGATATCATGTTTCAGTCTTGCGACGGATGATTTTTAAATTCTCTCATTTTATTTTTGTCATTCTTGCTGCCTTCATCACTTTCATGAATCTTTTCAAAGGACCAGCTGTCCATTTCCATGGTGGTTTCTATTGTTTCCATGTTTGTTGGCTTTTGCATTTACCTTTACTATATTCTTCCTTCCACTCACTTTAGGTTTATTTGGCCCTACTTTTTGTGGCTTCTTGAGGTGGCTAAAGTATTGATTTGAAACCT